TTTTTTAAAGATTTCTCAAGAACCACCAGACCAATTTTAATATCCTTTTAGTATTAAATACATTTTTATGAGCTTTATAACTTTTGTTAGAAGCCGAAAAGTAATTTACTTAGTATAAAAAAAAGTTTTAAATAGAAGCGCTGTGCATTCGCATTTATAGTAAAATTTATATATAAAAAAAAAATTTTTTATCCAGGTGACTGGTGGATTGTATATTAAATATTTTTAAACTATTTTGAAATATTTTGCAATATTTTCAAGTGTAATATTTCATAATAACTTTCAAAATATTTTGAAATTTTTTATATAATATTATGAAATTTGTATATTTCGCAATATTTTAGAATTATTTAGTAATATTATAGTTTTTTTACGATCTATAAATTCTTTCAAAATATTACGCCTTTTTAATTTGCTAATACAACTCATAACCAGCATAGTGGACATTCGATTTGATTGGCTTGAAGATCACTAGATTACACAATATAAAAAAAAAAATTTAAAATAACTCTTACTATGAAAAACCATATTGTCAATTGGCAACTCATAGTTTTGCATAATAAAATTTTTTTAGAACATATTATAGTGTTCTTTAACCTCTTACACATCTTTTGGAAAAAAAAATCAGTATAGATCATTATCCCTAAAAACTTTACTTAGGAGGCAAATTTAGGCAAGTAATATGGTAATACAGTATATAATAAATAGGTATTTAACTTTTTTTGCTTCCAAACTCAACACCTTGACTTAAGCAACTGATGTGGTAATACTTATATTTAAAACATCTTACCTGTTTTTTATTTCATATTGTTTAATTTATTATTATTAAAGTGTAATAACTTTATTTATTCTAATTAATATTTTAAGTTAAAAATCGACTTCGTGATTCTCAGAATGAATTATATCAACTTAAAAAAATGTCTTCAATTTTATCATCAAGTAATAATTATGAAGATTCTGAAGAGAATAACTTATCAACTAGGGTATTTATATTATTAACCGATTGTTACTCTCCTACATGTACAAGAGATAATTTATACTACAGCATTGCTTGTTCTAGAAGATTGGAATAGGCAAGTATTTATATACGCGAATAAAAAAACAGAATAGTTACTTCTTTTTTGATTTTTGAAATAACGCAGATAACTTTGTGCTATCAAGCATTTTAATGTAGAACAGCACTTGAAAGTGGATTCCTCAAACCGTGTTAAAGCTAATAGGTGTTTTATAAGATTTAGGGCAAGTATAATGTTTAGTCAAATGTGATAAGGTAGAATTCAATGATAATTTCACTTGGATCTAACTGTAATTTGATAATTTTAAAAATTTTTAATATTAATATAGCATGCAAGAAAACATAGAATGCCAAATCAAGATCTTAACCGTTCATCAAGTCGCAGTTCTATGTTTGATAGAAGAAAGGTAATTATGATTTTTCAAAAATTTATCCTTACTTCTATTAATCAAGAATTCAAAAGATGATAACTACAGGATAGTTATGGAGTATGTGTCATCTTTAAGTAAATCTCCGAATTCATCAAGGTTCTCACTTTTCCGAGCTATCCGTTCAAGTTCATCACGTCATTTTGGTTCCTTTGGATAGTGAAAAACTAGATTGGAACCACGACTAGTATGTATTACTAGAAGAATTGCTATAAGCGAACGCAAAGCAAAGAAGTTTGGTAAATTAAATTGGGCTTCTAAAGTAGCTAACTTATATTACATAGTTTGAGAGCTTAATACAATTCATAAAGTCGATTTAGTGCACGAAGATTTTCATTCTGATAATATAGTTAATCAAAATATGTATAGTTCTTACATTACTGATTTTGGATTATGTAAGCCATTGTCACAAGACTCAAGTTCTAAAGCACTTTTTGGT